TTTTGATTTTAATTTCAATGTTTATTCGAATCCACTACATGAGTCTCATCGCCCTGATGATGGAGGCAGCAAGCACATCTGAAACGTCGATAAACTTTTACCAGACTACATGGTGCAACAACCCAGAAGACAGCCATCTTCAAATAATTTATGGTTCTCTTAAATGTGATATTCGTAGTGCAATTAGCATAGTAACAGTTGGTTTTGCATCTGCAATAAATGGCCATGAAAGGGAGTGAGTTATGGGGAACATGAAAAATAGGAGTATATTTTCCTTATTACGTTCTTTGAAATGTTGCATATTACGTGGTATGTCAAGTACCGGTATTGCAGATAACATGTTGCTACGAGACATTCTATTCAGTACACATGTACAGATTTTTCTTTTTATTTCGTTAAACTTCGTTGTGTTGAATATTTTCAAATAAAAGTTTTATATCTTCGTGTGTTGTACATTTTATGTCATGTATTACCTTTTTTGTACGATGGACCGTTTTTTGGAATACGAATTTCTAATTTGATTTTCGTATAAAATAGGAGTTAATAAGACCCGATACGAACCAAAATTGAATCCCCACCATATGTTCCAGTGTATGCCCGAAATAATTCTAGCTTTTTCGAAGCTGAAACTGACAAACATGTGTTCATCATATGCACTTTTTGAAAATAACACATAATACGTATTTTGAAAAACTGTTACTCCATTTGTGTGGTAATGCAGTAATTGAAGTGGGCTCTATCTATTAGTTTTTGTTCTTCTGGGTAATGACACCATGAGTCTTGTACGTGGTTACCAGCGTTTCAGAAAAATATATCGCCTTCATCTTCAGGGTGAAAGTGATACTGTGACATGTTCCGAATCTGTCCATTCTCAGTACCTTATGAATCGTGTGGTTCAAGTGAATGAACCGTGCTGTAAATGAACCTTGATTAGAAGTGGTGTGCTATTAATGTAATTCAAGAATGAATGAATGGGATCATGACGGCGATAGACTTGGTAATTAAACGTTGAATGGAACAAGGACCTAAGGGACTGATTTATTATATCTTACCGGAAATTACGTCAGTATGTAACAAGCAAACAACACTGTGCGCGAAATAAGAAAATGAATCGATCTTAGGTTTTTGACGACACTTTTTCAACTGCATTGTGCTACGCGTTGGGCGACCGGGATTCAGTTCCTGGGAGGAGCATAATTTTTTCTCTTCGCCACCACGTCCACGCTGGTTCCAGAGCCTGCACATCCTTACATTTATATGGCGTGCTGCGTTCTTAAGCATAGGTACAACTGATTTCGACGTTTCTCACATGCATCTGTTATGTTGAATGAGATGGTAGTTGTGTGAGTGGCGAATGGAAAGGATGTGGAAGGAAGCGACCGTGGTCTTTGTTAAGATACGGCCAAGTGGGACAGAAAATCCACTAAAAGTTCCAATCAGGATAGATCTCCGGACCAAAATTTGATCCCGTGACCTCGTATGTATCATCTCCGAATTTATTGGTTGAATATCCATGAAATTTCATATTAGGGTCTACGCTGCAAGTTATCAGGATAATTTATTTTCACGTGTCTTATGTCAAACTATTATACATTTCTCGGAAACAGTTGATCGTACAAAACATTTTTGCATGATAAAATATATATATCTTGTTAAGACCGACGTGTCTTTTTTATGAATATTCAATACAGTACAACGAATAATAATTATTTACTGTGTTTAGTGGGATTAGTTTTGTATCTGCAGTAAGTGGATATGAAGCCCCATGAGTTATGTACAGGATAACACAAAAGAACTTCACACTTTCAGAATGATACAGAAAACGAGTGACCGTGAGGTGTGTACAAAATTTCGGGAGCTTTTCTGTCGACAAGTGTAGGTGTGAATTTTTCTGTATCATTTTGAATGTGTAAATTTATTTTATGCTAACTCTGTGTAGTGGCAAATGACGCATTTGGATGATATATAACGTCTCAACTCTTGTTTAAAACTTTGAAGCCGAAGCTGGTCTAAATAATATTTAATAATTCAGTCCGTACCGCAAAGAAAACATAACTCTTTACGGTTGCAAAGCTTGATTGATTAATTCTGTTTAAGGAAATGATCTTTTTCAATGAAACATATAAATACAAAATTCAGAGTTACGGTTTCGAAAATTGTGTGGTAGATATTGTTATTACTCGGCCTTAAAGGGTTAAATTAATGAAGCACTTGACCTATTTGCTGTTCTTAAGATCTGCGAAGACACTTGTTACTTGAGCCCCTATTCGTCTGCCGTGCCATGCTATAACAGGAAGGATGTGGTGTGGAGATACACTCATTTAAACGGAAGAAGCATATGGCTATATAGAATAGCCGTGAAGTTGGATTTTCCAAATAAGTTCTGCGGTTGTGGTACTAAAGATTACTCTATATTTTTACACTGCCTCCTCCTCTGTTCTGCCCTTTCAAGGGCATTCTGCCCAGTTGTTAAGTTCTTCAATGGTCTCTTATAATTCTTAAAGCAATTATCTAAAAGATAAATACGAGTATGTACAAGACATGGTCTCTTAGCTTGCCCTGAGGGCGTGTGGGTACAAATTGCTGAGTAGAATATGTGAAGCTAAGAAGGAGGGAATAACAGGAGAATGAAGAAAATTGTATAACGAAAAGCTTAATAGTTTGTAATATTCATCAGGTATGATTAGGTGATCAAATCAAGTCGGATAAAATGAGCGGGAATGTGGAACGGGTGGTGGACTTGTGGTATAGATACAAAGTTTTATTCTGAAAATCTGATGGTAAAATACCAATTGGTAAGTTCTTCGTTTATTTAACTACGCTTTCTCAACTTTATAGATTAGATGTCGAGTGATGGAATTATCGTGGATGGTGAATTCGGAAATATGTGGAAGGAAGTGGTCGTGGTTTATTTTGACGCACTATCCCAACAGTGCCTCGAGGAAATTAGGGATTTCACGAAAGAACCTCAAAGGAGTCGGCCTTGAACCCAGGACTTCCCGAATATTTGTCCATTCACTCAGTTTCTTTTTAAATCAGACCTGGTCCAGGGGTCACGATTAGCCCTCTCTGTCGGTCTCAACAGAAAAGGCATTTTCACGTGAAGACGGAAATAGAGTCAGATCCCAAAACGTAGTGGTCTTGTTTTAGAATATTGAACGATGGATGGAGTCCAGAAAAGCCGCTATATTGAACGCAACGCACCAAAGCACCCTCGTTGCCCCGAATAGCTTTGACGAAGGCGGTAACATCTTCCACTGTTGCTGTCACTGAGAAAGTATGGGTGTGAGCTAATTTTGGTCTTTCTGCTATTTCCTTTCCTTTGTACGTCAGAAACTGATTTTTGAGTGGATAGCGTTGATTCAAATAGAGGATCTCAGGTTTTTTACATTTATGTACCTTTTATAGACTATTCAAGACATGTTCAGATTTCTCACGTCTGTTAATGTTAGAGAAAAGTGTTAATAAAACAAGACGCTCATTAGCTCGATTAGACAAAGAACTTTCAATTCGAACGCTACAAATTGCCTTATTAATATCGTACTTAGGCAAAGTGAATGACGTGGATGTTTTATAACGGCGTGCTGAGACGAATAATTGGTCATAAGGAGGATGAACTGACAGGAGGTTGGAGAAAAGTGCATAATCAGGTGCCCTATAATTTGTACCCTTCAGCAACTATTATTAGGTGCAATATCATGCGTACAAAATATTGCTTGGGGTTACGTGAAGGAAAGAGGCCTCTTGGAAGACCTAGATGTGGATGGGAGGAACAATTTTAAAACTGATTTTAAAGAACTAGGGTTGAAGGGTGTAAATTGGATTTTTCTTAGGATAGGGCCCAGTGGCGGGCAGATGTCAACATGGCAATAAAATTCAAGTTCTATACAAGACAGGGAATTTAATGACTAAGTAACGAAGTGTACCGTTAGATTCTCAAGGAGGATTTTGCGCCATGGAATTAGTTTTATGATTTATCCCCATAACAAACGTCAGAAACCTAACTCAGTTGTTGAACTGTCATCAAAGTGAGTGTTGTGTTGTCCTGTATAAACTTCATACAGCCACCACGTTCTAAACAGAGTTATCTTCAACAATAGTTACATATAATTCGAATGTCTGTTACCGCACTTCGTTTCAGGTTGCAATATGATATGTCACTGACGTATCTCCCACTTTTAAGTTCGTGCGTCCATTCCTTATAAACGTTCTCGAGTAGAAACGTTCGTCGGACAGCATAAAAGTTCTCGAGTAGAAACGTTCGTCGGACATTCATGATCAGACGATACGTCGTCTAATTTTATGCGCTCCGTGCAAAGAACTCGATAATCAATCGGTTGATTCTTCTGAAACACTGGTAAAACTCTGTACCACCTGCATTAATATTTAGTAACTAGGCGCCTGTACTGTTTGTGTGAGCGGAAAATTGACTCGACCTTGAAGCCATGGAATCATACTGAATGCTGTCCTAAAAACATTACCCCTTACAGAAAATGTTCGCACTGTTGTAGCAATCTGCATGATACGTGTTTGATACTATGGATGTGTTGCCAGTGACCCAACTAAGATACTAAATTCTGTATGAACTACTAACTAAGAAATACTAAAACTACAAGAATGAGATGAAACAATGGAAAGCTATGCAATTAATGGAGAACTGACAATGAGCCGATGTGTCTGTAACTTATTAGAACGGCTGTGCGTCTGCGCAGATGGGTCGAGTCAATTCACCGCACAGACATACAGTATTTTTCGGCTCATGTTTGGAACAGAGATGTGAAGTATTTTGTTTGTTTTGTAATTGAAGAATTTCAAATCAGTCTTATGGTTTTTGTAAAATTTAGTATGGCGTCCATGTTTTTGAAAATTCTGTTTTGTAATTTGGAGGGGTACGCGGGGGGCGAGGGGGTCTGGACACGTTTTGAGAAATGTGAGGAGGCCGAGCTGTAGCGTAGTCAAGTCGCTACTCCCAGTGCAGAGTAAAATGTTGAATGTTGCAGTTACGGCCAGCTGAGCGGCATGGTGGAGCCAGTGTTCGGTGTCCTGGGCGCAGCTGCGGTCACCCTGGCACAGCCTGTACTTCCCTACGCACTGTCCTTCGCAGCCGGTGCCATGATCTACGTAGTAGTGGATGACATCATACCAGAAGCCAACACCTGGTAAGGACATCGGTACAGACTCTTTAACCCACTAAAGCAGGGCGGTCGCGGTCTTCTGGTGTTCTGCGAACCGGTTCATGGGAAAATAATAAAGTTTAAATTCAGTGTTTGTTCGCTTATGCTGGAGAACGATTTGCACTAAACTTTGCATACTTATCCCTTTGAACGGGCAGATGTTATAGAAATGTTAAAAATTACAAGAAAGTGTACTGGGTTCGAAACCAGGTGAGGGTGGCTTGTGTGTCTTGGAAAGTAATGTAAAAGGTCGTCAGTAAGACCGAAGTTGGTTGTTTCGACGAGGAGATTGAGGTAATTTAAGTCTCAAATCCCAAAAACATTCCTGGGTTCCTAATATTAAACGATACGTGTCGAATGATTTGGCCTGTGATAAGATTTCGGGGAAGATGTTAATAATAAATGTAAGCATCCGTCAGATTTCCCGCCAGAAACACCGCGAACACTCTGCTGGTAATTTCTTAGCTTACATTGTCGATTATTAAATACTGTTATTTCGTGCCAGTTACTAGTTCTGGAAAGCTTCTACTTAAGTCCCTCTTCGTTTCCACTTATCTGTCTGAATCTGTCTTTTCGATGACGAGTATCATCAGTTCAAAATATCGTTTCTGCCTGACGGCGACTGTTTGGCGGAACGTGACTTTTTTCAGTAGTGTCTCTTCTGATTGAGCCTTTGCTAAGAGACGGCGACAGTAAGCCTCGACTAGCTGGCTAACGATGCATTTTATTCGATCGATTCTGTTGTGTTCCAGTGTATGGAGTACCATTGAACCGCGAAAGTATATTATTCGTTTTTAAAAGTGTTAGCCAGGTCAACACCGTTAACTTTAACGCAACACCTCTGTGACTCGGGTTTGAGGTTAGAAATTTAACATCGAAATTCACAGAATTAGTGGACTGCATGCAATACACGTATTCTTCTTCTGTTTTGTGCGTTCATATTACCGACAAAGAAACTTTACATCACGTTAAACACACAAGTAAGCCGAAGAGTTATGGAGAATTTGGAAGTAGCACTTGGACATGCAAAATTCTGCCCAGTCCTGCAAAGGGCATAACTCATCCAAAACAATACTTAAAAACCTGCTCATCACCGTTACAAATGCGAGAATTTTAAAGATTTTATTCTTTATTTTGAAAATGGATTGGCGTATTTATGTGCTATGTGAGCGACACGCTAAAATATGGACATGGAGTAATTTTTCAAATGCCTTCCTTGTGGACCGATATTTCAGAAACTCGGCATGAATGTCATGCCATTCTCTCCGTCTTGGTACTTTAATGTTTATCGATCGACAGTACCAACATGGCTACTGTGCGAACTTGAGACTTGGGAACGACACTAGCGCCATTGAGCGGAGCGTCGTTGGAGAATATATAGCAGTAGAAATGTTAAAATTACGAAAGTTGCAAACAACATGGCAAATGTTTGAAATAATTTGACGTCTCTAATTTGTATGTCTTGTGACAAAGCCAGCTACTGACATTTGTTTTGAAACCTACTTTCTGTTGTCCTTCGCAACCATAAAATGCATATATCGAGGGCCGCGAACTTTTAATTCTTGTTTGTCACATTTCATTTCGCCTCTGCAACACTGAAAGACAAGTGTTCTTGTGTGGGCCTGTCAGTCTGCAGCCCCTCACAGCACCTGCTTTCGTTCACTTTGTGCACAGCTGCATCGCGCTGTAATCATCAGCAGGTGATCCAGAGCCTGTGATCGTCGTTTTCAGGGATAAACAAATTTTGTGATACCTGTTTTTGAAACAGAGGACGGAGTTTCTTAAATACATTTACATTGTCTGATTTTTCGCCAAAGATGACTGTCTTCTGGGATGTGTATTTGAAAACATTTTTGAGTGTTTTCTTTTGTATTTCCTACATACCAGAATTTAAAATGATTTTGGGTTTTAAAATCTATTTAAAGTCGGGATATATCGGCATGACGCGTTCTTAGATTTGTTTCCGAGAACTCGACAATAAGGAAACGTTATATGGGAGTCACTGCGTCTTGAATCACGTGCTTGCACTTTAAAAGCATACCGTGACCTCTCCTGAGCTTCATACGGCCATTTTGTTAAACACAGGAAATGCTTGATATTTCTCTTTCTTCGCCATAGCCCCACAACTTGAGACTTCCGTTGTTTGATGTCTGTCGAAAGTCGGTTAGTTGCGTTAAATTCACTTCAAATGTAATATTTTCCAAGCTTCCGTAGATTTCTGTAACTTCACCTTTTGTAACCATAAGCCTGAACTCAAGCCCTGAAAACGTGGGTAAATAATATTGATACTTGAATGGGCGCTGCGCATTTGTCCAAAACCTCAGAGAGCCCTTATGCATTTATACAGGATACTTACTTGGATACTTGGACGACCCGTTCTTCAAGTGCCTGAGCACTGCGGGTCCCAACTTTTCGTTGGTTTGATCTATAGACATTTTGGTAGGACTCCTTGGACGAGGGATCGGCCCGTCTCAAGGCCTCTACCTGTACACAGGACGGCACAACACAGAAAAACATCCATGGCTTGAGTGGGATTCGAACCCACGGTCCCAGCTGCACAAGGCCCCACGCCTCAGACCGCGCGGCCACTGCGGACCCCGCATTCATACAGACCAAATTTAAATGCAAATATCGTTAATTTTATCATCATATAAAGTAATCCGAACCATAAAGATAAAATATATGTAAAACAACAAGAATAAAAAGAATAAAACGTCACGAGAAGATGACTTCTAGGTTATCCGAAGGTTTCCGCGGTTTAAATTGTTGATAATGGACATGTGAACGCACCTGTTGCGTTCAGGGTTGCCGATGGGTGTGAGGTATAATCAAGTAGAGGGGCCCCAAACTCTAAGATGCCCCCCGGGCACTCAGAAACATGGCTACACTGATGCCAGTTTCTTAGGAAATACGAATATATACAATTACGTCCGCGTATCTGTCTTCTCCGTAACTCTGAACCGGTTGACGGATTTTCATGAGACCTGTCATTGCATTTTATTTCCCTACCATCAATAATAGCCGGCCGCAGTGGCCACGCGGTCTGAGGCATGGACCTCGTGGGCCTGGGCGCTGGGACCGTGGGTTCGAGTCCCACTCAAGGCATGGATGTTTGTCCGCGTCTCCTCTTCCAGTCTGGTAGGTAAAGACTGACCACGGAAGGAAGTGCGAACCCACCGTGGTACTTTCGCATGAGCGCCGCGAAAGGGGTCACGACGATCAAGCTGACCATAGACGATGAAGGAAAAAACCCAACAATAATACGAACATGACAGAAATACGCACGTTTTGAAGTCAAAGTGGTCCACGATGTACGTATTAGTGCGTAGTTTAGGAGCTAAACATTCACACTATTCGGAATTTCCCCCTCTGTGATTGTCTGATGTTTTCGAACCTGTGATATATATTAGTGTCCTGAATTTTCGTTATCATTTGTCACCCCTTTTACAGTTAGTGACACATTGTACAAGTTTATTTAAGTGAGGTTTATGTTCTCACGGTGGCGAGTATGAGTTAGTTACGCCTTGCAGTCTGGCAGAAGTTTGCCGATGTTTAAGAGGTGGTTGATGCCTTCGTCACCAGGGCTATAAATGTTACCATCCTAATGATGGAGGCAGCAAGGACCTCTGAAACGTTGGTAAACTTCTACCAGAGATGAGAGACACCACAAGTAGATCTATCCTCCCATCAACTCTTAGGTCTCCGTAATGGTCTCTTTCGTTCAGAATATTTTGTATGCACTTTTATAGACTTTTACGTACACTGAGCGTCATTCTTCGTTTGTTCTTAATAATATTTCGTGAAGGGTAAAAAAAATATTTATTTATCTTTCAGTTAGGGAGCAGTAAAATATTAACAACTGTTTCTAAGCAGCTGACATCTTTGCATTTTGCAAGAAACGTGTGTGTATATGTCAACACTTACTAATATGGCAATAGAACAGAATTTTGTGGTTGTATCTGTCAAATGTGACCTAGTCTGAATCTTTACTGGCGAGTGCTATGAACAGAAATGGACCACTAAATTATATCACGGGTTTTGCTGGCCTGAGCATGTAGACGGAAACATTCAAAAGGAAGTGGTAATAATAACTCTTTCCAAGAACTTTTTTTCGTATTTCATACGGGAAAGAGCAGAAATCTGAAATGACTGTCTTGTGGAATTCCACAAGGAAGCATAAACATGATTAATGGGCTGCATACTTGAATTAGTTCAGCGTTGTATAACAGGCGGCACATGGGCCACATTCGGCTCGAGACTACTTCTTACCAGACTCGCAAATTATTTAATTTGTTACTGGTTACTACAGACTCATTTATTTTAAATATGGCTGTCTTCTAGGTTGTTACGCCGTGTAGTCTGGTAGAAGTTTACCTACGTTCCAGATGTCCTTGCTGCCTCTATCATCAGGGTAATGTGATTCTTATCTTGTCTATTGCCACATGCTACGGATTTGAAAACATTCGCGTAAAATGTAAGTTTTCCATTTACATGTTACGTCAGACAATAGCTGTTGCAGGAGAAATTTTAAAATAATATGTAGCTCTATTGTAATTTGTACACGTTTCGATATAATCTGTATTAGAACTTTTGCTACTTCTGTTTGTCCCTTCTGAAAAGTATTGTTGAAGGTAATCAGAATTGGCCAATAGTTTTTAAAAAATAATGCCATGAGGGGTTTCGCGGGCCTTTGGTACGACGGGAAAAACATATTGATCCGAAGGAAGAAAAAAGTTCAAAACTCTTGCAGTCCTTTTTTTTAGGTAACAATTAATAGTTCAGAAACGAACAGTCTGAAATCAGTATTGCCGTTTCAGAAGTGAATCCTGTTCAATATCTACTAGACTACACGGCGTAACATCGCAGAAGATCCAAATTCATGCAAATTATGAAGTTCGTCATAACTCAGTTTTATTCTTTCACCCACTATTTTATCTTAGTTTTTTTTTCTCACCGTTCTGCTTTAAAATATCCTTAATGTGTAT